GAGACAGGAACTCGATCTCTTTTCAGCTGGGAAGTGAAGAGGTAAAGTGGCTGTGGTTTTGCTCCTTTATATCTCTGATCTCTCAGCATTTTTCCCAATATCTGACTCTGGGCTTTCATTATTAAGACCTATTAGAACTTATGCTACAGATTGGCACCCAATGTGGGGCCAATTCACAAAAAGTTACTTGCCTGTGGCTTTGTAGCCACCGGCACAGGCCAGTGGGGGCTCCGGCCGGAGCTGCACATGCCAGGCTAGGTTTTCCTTCGGTTTTCCCCTAAGCCTCTAAGCAAGTTTGAGATTTGTTGTTGTTGTTGATGATGATGATGATGATGATGATGTTGATGATGATGTTGCAGCCCCTCTGTAGCAAACTCCACAGGTCCAAACTCCACAGGCACATGGACACATGGGCACCAAATATCATAGGACTTACCCACCCTATGTGGGCTGGCCCTGCCTTCAGGAAGTTCCTACAACGTGTGCTTTTTCCGCACAATCCCTGTGTGTTTTTCAGACAGCCAGCTTTCTATCTAGCGCTCTCTCTTTCCATTGTGGGTTACGTGCTTTCCCTATCCTCCCTCTCCTTCGGCTGCCACTTGCAGCCCATGGCTACACCTAGCAACTGCAGCCGTCATCTATCAGGCTGTTCACTGCCTGTGTTCTCCATTCAGACATGCTGCACCTCACAGTTCACTGACATTGTTGGCATATCTGGTAAACTGGGATTTCTTAACGGGAGGAAATAAGAGAGTTTTTCTTCCCACATTAAAAAAATGAGAAGCACAGTCAGGCAGTAGTGGTGCACGCCTTTAATCCCAGCACTCAGGAGGCAGAGACAGGCAGATCTCTGGTCTACCGAGAGAGTTCCAGGACAAGGTCCAGAGCTACAGAGAAACCCTGCCTTGAAAAACCAAAAAAAAAAAAAAAAAAAAAAACCATGGGAAATGCTATTACTATGGGAGGATTTAGGTCTCGGTATGATATGCTGGACAGTTTAAAAATGGAACAATTAAATGAAAGGGTTACTAATTTAGATGAGACTTATGTAATGTCAATTATAAACATTATCAGTTTTATCATCTTTCTTTTTTCACTAAAAAGTTTGTTAATTGAGCACTAAAATACAAGTTTTAGAAAAATTCAATAAAACAGATCATAGAGATATTCAGATCCAGACAGGAATGTAATGTAGAACCAATTTAATTATTATATTATGAGGTTAGAGAGAAACAGCCTAAGGCTTTCAAACAACCAATTTTAATTTATTCAGTCACATGACAAGAACTACCAAATGATAGATACCCCCAAAGCTGTGTAAGAGTTAAATGGACTCCTGTGGAAATATTAGCTATAAGGAGATTCAAGGAAACAATAGTCTTATATGGCATGCATTCACCTTTTGTGGAACAGATGTTAAACTAGTGGTCAACTTGTAAGAAAATTATTCCTAGAGACTAAATAGACTTGGTTAAAGTGGTCTTTGAGTCTAGTCCTCAATTACAATGGACCTCCTGGTTAAAAGAGGTTAAGACCACTGAATAATGAAGTAGGGCTAGAGGTATGGAAATTTCCCAGGACCAACTTCTTGGAGAGAGAGTTTATGCTTACATACAAAGGCAATATCTATATGATGACTACATCCTAGATTTATGCAACACAGAAGCTTTGGGTGCTTGGGACAGAATTACTAAAGTTATACAGGGCCCAAAGAAAGCCATCATTGATTTCTTACAAAGATTGACTTCAGCAGTAAATAGAATGACACCAGATTCAGAAGTTAGACAAATAATAATTTAGTAACAAAGGTTCAAAAAAAGAATTTTCCATCATATGGCAACAAGTCATGAAAATTATAAAGAAATGTCCCACTTGTTCTTTATATAACCAAACACCACTATCTGCAGGAAGTAACCCAAAGGGTACTCAAAGGAATAAAATCTGGCAGATGGATGTGTTCCATTATGTAGAATTTGGAAAAGCAAAATATGTATACCTAGTCAGGTTATCAATGGGCAACTGCTTTGAGTTCGGAAAAGACTGATTTGGTAATCACACATTTGCTAGAAGTTATGACCACCATGTGTATACCTGAACAAATGAAGACAGACAATGCTCCAGCATATGTCTCTAAGAAAATAAAATAGTTTTTTCTTATTAAAATATGAAGAATATTATAGGTATACCATACAATCTAACAGGACAGGCAATTATAAAGAGATCAAATTGAACTCTAAAGGATATGATAAACAAACAGAAAGGGATGAAATGGACTCCCAGAAATCGATTGCATAATGTTTTATTAACTTTGAATTTTCTAAATGCTAATGAGAAAGGAACAACAGCTGTGGAGAGACATTGGATAGTAGAAAGAAATACAGAATTAAATCAATCAGTATACTTTAAAGATGTGCTGACCTCAGAATGGAACCAGGACATGTGTTACATTGAGGAAGGGGTTTTACTTTTGTTTCTAAAGGAGAAGAAAAGTTATGCATCAAAATTGATAAAGATTAGATTTGAATAAGAGACATCCCTTGATTAGGAAAGATGATAGTTCACCACACAGCATGGCCATTCAATCTAAACTAACTTTAAAACTAGAAAATGCATTTCATTTGACCGTATATAACTTGCCATAAGAGAAGTTCCACAAAATTAGAATTTGGAAATGATTTTGTTCTTGTCTTTTCAGGAGAATAGAGGCATCTAGCTAGGAAATCTGAAGACCACTGGATAAATGAGACATCTGAAGAAAGGAACAAATCATCCAGAAAAAAAAAATGTTTCAAGAAGAAGAGTAAATTGACCTATTGGTATATCATATTTCCAAAAGGGTAAAATTTTGTATATCTTCCAAAATGTTTGTTTCTGCTATTCTCTACAGACATATAATGCAAATAGTCTTTTTGTAGTCCTAGTCCAGTCAAAGACTAAATCTCACTTTGGAGTTGGAGTGTGACTTCTTCTTTAAACCCAAGCACGCTTGTTAAAGTAAAATCCAAAATCTCCATCTCATGTCAGAAGAGCCACCTGATAAAGAACAGAAAAAAATAAAAATTAAAGGACCATTTTATTGCTATTAATCTCATAATCCTTTGGTTCTATTTCAAAGCTTCTCTTTAACCTCTCTGAGATCTACTGCACATGACATTTAAAATGTTTAACTTTTCTGCAGTGAACCAAGGTCATGCCTAATAGTAACATTTGAAGTCTCCAAAAGGAGGATGGGGCCCCACAATAATGATTCCACCAGGACTTTGATAACACCATTAAGATGAAAAACACTATCTAAGGATTGGCTTTGGACAACAAACTTCTCAGGACAATTTCAAGGTAGCTAGCTGAGATGATTCAGCCTTACAGAATACTCTAGCCAGGACTTGAATCAAGCCATGAACTTTACCATTACACAGAGACTGGACTGGTCAACAAATGATACAGCTACCTCTCCTAGGATATGACAATTAACTCAAACTTTTCTTTTCAGGATCCCCCTAAAAATGCAGTCATCCCGAAAGAGCAGGAAGTAAATTTAAGAATATGACACCCACATTCCCAAGAGGTAGGGTGGGTGGTTTTTGGCTGTTCAATGATTGATGGATATTTGTCATTGTTTAGAGAAACCAATTGTCATTGGTTACAAGTTGTTATTGGTTACAGTCAGGAAGAAAGTTGAACATAGGAGATTATATTCAGAATTTTTGCTTTGAAAGAGAAAGGGGGTGGCATAGATATGATAGGCTATAAGGGTAGATTATTGAATCTACTCTGAAAAGAAATAAGGAGGTATATAGAAATAGAATTAAAAGGTAGATTATTGAATCTACTTTTAAACAAAAAAGCAACTACTAATTTTAAATCTTCTACACTGACTTGTATTTTTTGTATATTGATACAAAGTTGACATTATTTTTGTTAGTACATACTGTACATACATTTCGAATCTTATTGAAAGTATGATTCCCAATTAACTCACTTGACAATGTAATTTTATTACATTGTTAATGCAAGTTTCTAGCCCTTGAAAGTTATTATTACCAATAATTTAAGATAATAAGGAAATGTGAGTTAGTAGTTAGTCACCTATCACAACTGAACTTGTAGTCACATTAGGTATGTTTTAGGTCAAACAGAGATATATTTTAGATAGACAGGTTGTCTTCAAACATTTCAAAGATCTACAGAATATGGCATTTAAGATGTTTTAATGAGTTTTTTCCTTCTTTATGACATGTCTGCTCCTGGCAGCACCAATCTACTTCAGAGAAGATGATGGGCATCAAAGAAACACCACATGAAGTTTTTTTGTGTGTGTGTGGTAAATGTTAGCCACTTAGTAGTAAAGTGCCCTTGTCTCGACTGCTGACAGTATGCTGTTCAACTTGGACAAGCCGAACACAAAAGAGAGGGATTGCTGAACTTTGACAAGACAAGGTAGGGCATCAGACTTTTTCTGATTCACATAAAAGTCTGTCAGATATGCTAGGTCTATAGGCTGAAGATGGATGCCCCGATGTCACAGAGGAAACTGGGGTGACTGGTCAGGCAGCCAGCTGTTTCTGTCATTTGTCACATTTTCTTTTGGAAGTTGCTGTCTTGCATTTCCTGCTTACTCAGGTAATATTATATCTTTCTCAGTTCTCTGGTGGTATTGAAGACTTTATAGTTATAGTTATAATTTTCCTTGTTACCAGATTCAGAAAAGAAATTCACTAAAGAAATGTAAAGCGTATAAGATTGAGAGACTTAAAAAGATAGTTTGGTAATCCAAGTTAGAATAGAAAGTGAATTAGGTACAACCTTTTGGAATCACCAAGATAGGATAGATATGGAGTATTTTCTCTTAATTTGTCAATTGTTAATGGACTAGACATTGTTGATGCATTTATTGTCTGTATATATTATACATAGTTATTGCACTTATTGTATATAGTTTTTCTTATATCAATTATAAACTTATTTTTTAATTTTTAGACAAAAAAAGGAGAAATGTGGTGATATCATGTTTGTACAAATAAAGCTTGCCTGAAGATCAGGGAGCAGAGCTAACCACTAGCTAACCATAGAGGTCTGGTGGTCTGTACAGACAAATAGAAAGTGGTATGGCTGGGTGGAGAGAGAAAGTGATAAGGCAGCAGGAAACAGGAACTCAGTCTCTTTTCGACTGGGAAGTTGAGAAATAAGATAGTCATGCTTTTACTCCTTTGTCCCTCTGATTTCTCAATGTTTTCCCCAATATCTGACTCCGGGCTTTTATTATTAAGACCTATTAGAACTTGTGCTACAGAGAAGGAGGAAGCGGGGAGGAGGAAGAAGAAAGAAGGAGGAAGAATGTTCAACATCCTTTGTCATCAGGAAAATAAAAATAAAAACTACTTAGGATTTTATCTTACACCAGTGAGGACAGTAAAGCAAATGACAGTTCATGCTGGTGTGGATGTGGGGAAATGGGAACTCACCCATCGCTGGTGGGAGTGCAAACTTCTACAGTTACAATGGAAATCAGAATGGCAGTTCCTCAGGAAGCTTGGAATTGGCCTACCTCAAGATCCAGCTATATCACTCTTAGGCATATTCAAAGCACTCTCTATACCCTGCGACAGAGACACTTGTTCATCTATGTTCATTGCTTGTATGTTAATAATAGCCAGAAGTTGTAAACACCCTAGATGTCTATCACCTAAGGAATGGATAATGAAAAAGTGGTATATTTACCCAATGGAATATAATATATAATGAAATTATGAAATTTGCAGGTAAGTGGATGGAGATAGAAGAAAAAATAATCCAGAGTGAGGTAACCCAGACCCAAAAAGACAAATATTATATGTTTCTCTTATATGTGAATATTAGCTTGTAAGTTTTTAATATGCATGCTTCAATATGTATACCCATATAGAGTTTAGGTATCAAGTAAGGGACTGGGGAGGGGAGGGTATTCCAAGTAAGGGGAAGTTAATATATAGTTATGAATAAATGATGTGGGGAAGAGACTGGAGCAGGAGGATTAAATAGGGAGGGAGTGGAAAAGAGGGGTGAGGGAGAGACAACTAACACTAAGGACTATTTGAAGGGCTATATGGAAACTTATTATCATAGACGCTTCTAAAAATAAATACATATACAAAAGAAATCTAAATGGAGTCACCAAATAATGGGGAGACAATGTCCCAACTAGACATCTCTCACCACCCAGTGAAACCTCCAGTGCCAGAATGGGTCACATCTCATTGAGTTGTTGGCCAAAGAGGACCATAGAAACCCCAAAACAACCAGGCTATTGCCAAAGCTACTGGTTGCTCTCCACAACCTGATGGTAGACCCCATTGCTGAAGACAGCACTTATATAGGTCATTAAACACAGAGAAGTCAACTGGTCTCTAACTAGAGGTCTCACCCCTAGTGACTAGTGTTTGTGGTATTGGAAGGTACTCTGCATGCTACCAGAGGAGAAAGGTACACACTAATCCATCTACAAACCCTTCAATTTACAACCGTTACCCACCTGAAAGGTATGTTGTACAATAATGGCACAAACGTTGTGGGAATAACCAGCCACTATCTACTTGGGATCAGAGTTAAGGATCTCTCCCTGAAATGGAATCCACACCTGATATTGCCCAGGCAACCAAGAACCTGAGACCAGGTAGGTCATGGACCTAGGAGAAAAATCCATACTATTGTTCTGCTAATGGAATACAGCAATCAAATGACTCCTAAGGACATTCTGATCCACCCATAGGTCAGCACCTTGCTCTACCATCATCAGAGAAGCTTCCTCTTGCAGTAGATGGGAACTAACACTGAGACCCACACCTGGACCATGTGCAGAGGGTGAGAGATTTGGAAACACTCAGTAATAAGTAGGATGCCTTCATCAAAGTCCCCCAACCAGGGATCAGGGAGCTGTGCAGAAGGCGGAGAGATTGTAAGAGTCAGAGGAGGTGTCTGACGAATGTCTTCAAGACACACGCGAGCTCCCAGAAACTGGCAGCATGCACAGGGTACCAGCACTGAGAAGAGGAAGTGGAAACAGGCTTCCATCCCGAACAAAGATGCTATCTGCAATTGACAACCACTCGCAAAGGAAACATTGTGTTTTTTTCCAGTGGAGTTTCAGTGAGTATATTAACTACATTTTTAAGGGCCCACTCCATGCCCAGCAGCAGGTGGCCAATACAAAATTAACTCAATGCTTTTGTTTTCATTGTTTTTTTTTTTTTTGGAGTATTTGGGAGGATTGTTTGTACTTTAGCTGGGAGTTGTAGATTTTTTTGTCTCATCTTGCTTTGTCTGGGCATTTTTTTTTTTGCTTAATTGGTCTTTGTATCTTATGGTTTCCAATTTTGTATTTTTGTGGGGTTTGTTTGCGTGTGTGTGTTTCTTGTGTTTTGTTTGTTTATTTGAGGATTGTTCAATGGTTAGAGCACTGCCTACTCTTCCAAAGGTCCTGAGTTCAATTCCCAGCAACCACTTGGTGACTCACAACCATCTGCAATGAGATCTGGTGCCCTCTTGAGGAAGGGATCTGGTCAGTCGTCCTCATCAACTTCGACCATGAAACCCAGTATGGACAGGGTCAACAGAACCGCCATGTACGAGCTGCCCATGCATGCCTCAGCATTGCCAGGGCATAAATCTCATTTTCATTTTATTTTGTTTGAAGACTTTTGCTAATCTGTTTTCTAAAGAAGGAAAGAAAATGTGTGGAGTTAGGTGGGTGAGGAGATGGACAGAATCTGGGAGGAGTGGGAGAGAGAAAGCCATGATCAGAATATATTGTATTGAAAAAAAACTCAATAGAATATTTAGAATAAAAAATCCAATCAGTGTTTTCTGAAAGCTATCCTGAAACTTAGTCTTGGTCGCCAACTTTCTGTAATCGAGTGTATTGGTCCATCTTCCTTTTCTGTAATATCTAAACGCAGCGCAGCAATGACTGTAACAAGTGAGCACTGTCGTACCTCTGTGCCTACATGAAACAATATTGTGAGAAGGTGCGCAAAAAAGCACCCAGCCTCAGACTCCAGCGAAAGCCACACTAGAGTAAGAAAGCACAAACACTGAGACATGTGGTGTACTGATTGCCAAAGTGGCTTGTGCTTCAGTAGTCATGTGCTTGTAGCAGAGGAGAAGGATTTGGACCAACCGAAGACCCTGAAGCATCAGGTGAGAGGAATGTCCTTTGGGACAAAGGACAACCACTTCCTATCCCTCATATGTGACTTTCCAGGAAATATAAATAAATGCAGGACATTCTGAATCAGAAAGCAGTGAGGATGTGCCCATCAGAACTGTCCGGGGCATGCCCAAGGCTCCACGATCTGACCTCCACCTCCACCCACCACATACAGTTCTTTCCCATGGAAATTAAGGACAGGCAATAGGGTAGCTAGTACCTCCCAGGGGCCACCAAACCAGGCTATACTATATGGACAAAGGAGCAAAGTTCCTGGGGGGTGGAGTGAAAGCTTAAGATCTTCTTCTCCATCTTCCTCTATGCGGCCCATCACCAGGTCCACAGTTCAAACTTACATCCAATGTAAATGTTGCCAGTTCCTGACTTGTGCGGTACTGAATGCCAATTTCAGAGAGATCCCACATGACCTCTGACCTCAGTATAAGATAGTATGCGGGAACATAGCATTGTCTACGTGGATGAATACACCAATTTCACCAAGCAACCCGGGGTTTACCTGGAACACTCTGTGCCCTTGGGAACACTTACCGGATTGATGCAGACAGGTAGCCAGCTCTCTCTTCACAAGCCCGCTGACTCCCACCCCACTCACTGACTGGAAGACAAGCTCACTAAGAGTCGGCTGGAGGTAAAGTTGCATCATTTGGATTTACTACTCCAGCCAAACAGTACAATTAAAATACCAAGTTAGCTGATGAAGTATGCTAACAAAAAGAGACTTCTTTGGAAGTGCAATAAAATTCTTTCAAAGAACCAATAAACATGAGTTGCTAAAAAAAAATCTGTTATTAAATTGAGTGTACAAATAACCACTATTGATGACAGAAAGTAACTAAATGTATAAAGATTCTACACTTTTTTCACAAGTGTCTATAAGATTTTGCTCCTGTTTAAAGAAACTTAAACCAACAGACCTGGCAGTACAGGGAACCCCAACACTCAGGAAGTGGAGGTAGGTGGACCGAGAGTTCAAGGTCATCTTACTCAATGACTCCAAGGGCCACCTGGAATACATAAGACTCAGTCTCTAAAAACAAACTGAAACCCGAAATAAATCATTGGTGGTTCATTCATTATGAGCAATACATACATGCATAACACACACAGAGAGAGAAAAACTGCAGACATCTTTACCGCTGGAGTTGTCATCATTTATCCAGCCATTCAATAAACACATATGACGAGCTCACTATAGACCCAGACAGAGAATCAGAATACCAAGAATACAAAGGGCAAAAATACCTGTATCATCTCACCTTGGGAAACCTTAGAGCTTCAGGGCACAAGAAGGCAGATGAAGTTCTGACCCTGATTTAGGACACTGCTTTCCCCCAGCCTCCTTTCCCCCAGTGCAAAGACACAAGACGTGTTTACCTTACACTGCAGAAAGGCTTGACTGTGTCAGCAGTTGACTGTGGAGTAGATTGTTACATCCAACTGTTGAGGTTTTGGATTGAAAAAATAATTGCGTTTCCTAGAATTCAGTAAGAATTAGCTGTGTGAAGTAAATGTGTGATAGCAATTAGCAAGAAAGAAAAAGAATGCTTGAGTTCCAAACAAGTTTGAAGGCCTCTAGGGAAAGAGAGAAAAGCCAGCACACCTGCACATTAATCGCTGCACTTGGGAGGCAGAGGCAGGAGGATCTCTCGGAGTTCCAGGTCATCCTTGTCTACACATCGAGTTCTGCACCAGCCAGGGCTACGTAATGAGTCCTTATCTTAGGGGGTTGGGGGAACCCACAATGGATAAACTCCTCTGTCCTCAGCTAGAATAGAACTTTTTCAGCTTTTACAGTATCTTTTTAGTCCAACATGTTATGATGAAACTGAAAATTAGTCTATGAGCTAATTATCTCATGAATGTCTCCTGTTCTCCCCAGGTGTCAAATCAAGTCCTTATGCATAAGAACTGCTTCCAATGAGGAGAGGCAATGCACAAAGTACATTGTGTTCTTGCATGAGAAACAGCTTTTAAAACCCAGAATAGTAAAGCCTTCTAAATAATTATATTTTGCTTTCATACCCTCTGAGCCTAGAGTAGGTCTTAGTAAATATTTGCCTAATTAATGTACTATAAACAAATTCAGTATGTGCTTTGAATCCCGTGCCAGCGAGGGAAGACTTCAGACATGGCCAAATGATAACTCTTCATGGCCCCATTGGTTTGTAACAAGGGATTTCTTCACTGTTGATTGTTTTGCATATCCGAAGCGCTACCTCTGTCCCACAGCCAGCTCCTACAAACGGATTATTTTCCCATTTCCATAATGACACCTGCTGGTAGCAGAAGAGTGGACCAGGTGCAGAAACGATGCTCAGCTGAAGTACGTCACAGGTGATGCGCCTGCATACTCAAAGAACACATCTCAGTGGGCCCAGACCTAAGTGCCAAGGGCTGATTAAGGCAGGTGCCACCCCACTGCTGCTTTCTAGCCAGAAAAACGTGTCTAAGGCAAAGCTGATGCAAAGAAGGTGTGTGTTGTTCAGGACCTCAGAAGGCACCCATTCATTCACTAGACAGTCACTCCGCTTCCAAGGTGGCACCCAAAACCAGCAAGTTAGGCAATTGCCTTTCTCTTAAATTCTTCTATGATATAATTAAGTACTTGATCAAGGCTAAAGCGGCCCAAAGGACAATGAACGGGGCATTTGTCTCACTGGTAGCCTTCAGGTCATCTCATCCTTCAGAGTAAGGGGAAAAGTGCTGCAAGATGGTCCATTCTAGAAATGCCGCTGTGTGTGCCGCTGTGTGCCCTGCCGTGCCCAGCCACCCTATACTGTAAGCTTGAAGATAGGCAGTATCCAACCTGCCTTCCATCTTCATGTGTCCACAGCCTGGTACATGGCAAGTGTCCACAGCCTGGCACACGGGAAGTGTCCACAGCCTGGCACAC